TGAGGGTTTACAACATGTAGGGTTTACAGGAAACTGGGATCTTAGAAAAAAACTGGTTAATTTGCATTATAATTTCATCAGAATTCAGGAACTTAATAAGGAGAGGCTGCACCTCATTCTTGGTCCAAAGTCCTAGAGTTCACTGTCTATTCTTATTTTAATTCCCATCAATATGGCTCATAACTCTGTCTTAGGCCCTTTCCCTAGCTAGCTGCCTAACTCATAAGGTAACAAAATAAACTATTTTCTACAATACCAGGTCCATAGGGTCTTCTTGAGATAGAAATAGAAGTCATGAACAGACAAAAATGCCATCTGGAAGGTGTTTTGTTAAGATTTATGCTGCAGTGAAAAGAGGAAACAGTGCGTTGACTGAACAATCTAAGGATATGGGGAGAAACATGGGGGATTTAGGAAATAAAGGAAGCTCATGCATTTTGTATCAATCACTGCTCACTAGAGAAATAGATTTAGCATACAACATAGTATATATTATGCTTACAATGGCTGCCTGGAAAGTCAGGTGTGGAAGAGTGAAGAAGGGCCATCTGCCCACTGGAGATTGGACGGACAGATCCAGTCAGAAGTCCAAGGTCTGGAGCTCACTGTAGGGTCTTGTACAAATCAGTGTCAAGAAGCCAAAGAGTCTGTGCTGGAAGCCAGGAGACAGAAATCCAAGATAATGGCAAGGACTGCAGCTCCTCCTAAAGCAAGTGAGCCTTCCTTCTTTTGCTGCTTATTCCATTCAGGCTACAAGCCTATTGGATGATGCCACTCACACCCATGGTGGGTCTTCTGTCTTCAGTAAATCCATTCAGGCACACCCAGAACTATGATAAGCCATGCTTAGACATTCCTTAGTCAAGTTGACAGAACAGTTAACTACCACACATGAGCACTATTTCTATTTAATCATGGGTAGGAGATGACCTTTTCACAGACCTAATGGAGGAGTAATATAGGGGCTTAATTGTCCAGGTTGTTATCATGGTAAAGTCATCAGGAATAAGTCTCTATCCAAAGATTATTAAAGCAAAGCAAGTATCTTCAAGAGTGTCTATAGGAAACATAATGGTGTTTGGTTCACCACAGAAGAAAAATCAGAAGGTAACTTCCAGGGAGTGTCAGGACTTTCTCCCCTGTATCAGTGAGACCTTTCTAAAGATGGTTGCTAGGGCTAGCTTCATGAGCATACATAGGAAAATGCAGGGAACACTCTTGGCCTGGCTTGCTCTGCAGTTCTCATGACTCTTAATTGTTCACAATATATTTCTGCAAGGTCCCAAATGTTACACTAGTACATCTCATGAAACTCTCCCTATTTCACCTATAATCCCCTGAGTGGGTGTTCCCCCTTAGTCATATGTCATACACTTGGTCCTGGGTGCTTCAGTTTCTCCTATTGTTCCATTATCCAAAATCTCTGGGTTTCAGCAGGCTCATTTCACTGTGCTGTTGAGTTTATCACCATCTACCTTAATAAGAAGCTACCAATCTGTTGATTTGGCTCTGTCTTCAGAGAATCAAGTGAGTCCTAGGTGGCACTAATTCACCATTTTGAATCTTGAGACTCAACAATAAATGAAAAGGTATATTTCAATAAAAGCAGAATGCATTGTTCTTTTAATGCACAAACTTCTACTTTGTAGTTTGCAAGGACTGACTAATGGGCCTAAATAAAAAAAATGTGGAGCGAGTGAAGTTTTATTGAACTTTTATTTTATTTAATATGTAACCTAATTTCAATACTTAAACTTCTACAGGAAAAGCCGAGTCTAACAAATGAAAGATAGTGCCAAAGAATGCACCTTTCATGAATCAAACACATGATGAATGAAGGTGCAGTAAAAACTATAGAGAAGCAGAATTGAGTGATATGGAATGTGTTAAAGTAAGTTTCATAGATGCAGCATCTCTGAGTAGTACACATGAGTGCAGTGATCTGAAGTGTGCTGTAAGTATGAACATAAAGTCTTAGAGTTTGAGAAGGGCAAACATGGGAAAGTGTGAGACCTCTGCATGAAAGATGAAAGGTTGTGTCCTGGTGAAAATTTGAACTGAGACAAGAAAGATAATGTAAAAGAAGCAAGTAAAATAATAGACTCCGTGTGAGAGCACTCTTAAAGAACATGTGGTTATACATGTGATTTCCACTATGTTACATGAAAGATTAGAATTTTAAGAGATATTGCTTGTTGGTATAGATATTCAATGTCTATATCAGGGAGCAGAAAGATCTTAAAGAAACTATAATGGCTGAATTTTCTTACACATAAATGCATATGATATGACTATTCCTATTACAAAGTTTAGAAAACTAAGAGTTAGTTGCACCAAATTGAACAACAGCATCAATTTGCTTAAATTCTATGACAAGTTGAGTAGAACTCTGTTTCTTGCATCTGAAAACATACTGATCCAATAGAATTTTTCAATAGTACATGTGTCTAAGAGGTAAGGTTTTATAGGAGGAGGTGGATCACTGGAGATAAGCATTTGGAATGTACCTTTCTCT